CACTTTACATCGAAAGGAGTCTGCGACCAAAATAAAGATCCCAATATCTTGTTCTTCGTGTCTACATTTAGACAACATCTTCTTGCCACTCATGTTGGAAAGAGAAAGATGAGCAGACTCGAGTAAATACTTATTTATCGTTTATAAGTAGGCTGTCGTGACTACCAAATGATTGACTGGGAGTTAAATTCCCCCATAATCGGTTGAATAGGACTTGCGTTTCCATTGAATTTCGCACGACCCTGCTTCATCCACAGCGCTCGACACGTGACAATGCAGCACATAATCCAGACACGTTAACCACTAACCCTAATTGCCACGAATGCCTTTCTGGTCACAGGGCAGATGTGAATTTCAAGGAAGCCTGGGCGCTTTTCCATATCACTTTCTGTAATGGTATTGCCGATAAAGCAATGCTATATTTGCTATAGTAACCGACTATACTACTTATTATTTGTATATAAGTAGGTTTACTAGACTACCATTACAGCATATCTATCGAATCCTTCTGTGGGTGCTGATGAGACCAGTTCAAGCCAGGTCGAAACTGCATTCCGCTACTAATTGGATGGTAATACCTTCAAGGGAAGTAAGACTATGTGAAATTCAATGTAAAGGTAAGGTCATTTCATATTATTGTGGGAAATTTTAACTTCATCTCCTTCAACGAAATCGGGTCAGCGCATTTTATGTATTGAGTAAATAATCTTTCGTGTTGAGCAAGTTTTCAGTCTGACTTTCAATGCTATGAGAAGCTATAATTGAAAAGTCGGCCATTAAACAAAAATGGCACAATTAAATAAAGAATTTAGTCAGCCGATATCGCTTAGAGTGATTTAAGGATGGAGAGATTAGTCTTCCCCACACAATCAGACGAGTAGGCCCCAGAATGCCATCGACTTACACTCAGCCTTGCCTCCCAGAAGGCTGTTTCATCCCAAAGAGATTAGACCGCAGCTTCAACCTCGCCTCAGTACTCTTAGCCAGATTCGACACTTGTATTGTGAATATCGTGGCGGTCACAGGGCCGATTCCGGTCGGATTAGGAAGAGTTTGGCATGTTGATCTCACCAGAATAAAACTGCTGATGACAGTTGTTCTGCAACGGTTCGGCTGTAATACTACCTTCCGGTTGACAATTCACGAGACATTCTCTTTCTTTTCAGGAGAAAACGTGTTGAGCTTTCGTCCATCATATGCCGGACGAAATCAGAGATGGAACTAATTCTTAAAGAGGTCTTAAGTAACCGGTAAGTCAAGAAGACCGCCATCCTACCATAAAAATTACATAGATTCATAACGTAAAATAAAGAAAATATATGCAAATAATTTAATTAGTTCTCTTTCATAATCACGGCAATTTTACTCGAATGTGTCTGCCTATGCGCTTGCAGCAGGAGACTAGTCACTATTGTTGAGCTTGCTTCCATTTCGAGTGACAGTGTGCGGTGAAGAGATTCGAAGGTCGGTTCCACCAGAAGGCGACGGCGGATTCCTCTTGACCAGCTGTCAATTGGCTTAACTGCAAGATTCATGCTGACGCTGTTTCCGAGGCAATCTCTTCCGTCAAATGACGAACATCATCAGAGTTTTCTTGACTCGTTAGCTTGAATTTGGTTGTGACGATGATACCTTGCTCTGATGATGTTCGTCAGGTGACGGACAAAAGCTTGGCACCTGTTCACCGGAATCGAAGGGGATTGCCTCAAAACATGAATGTTCAAGTAAAGCCAATCGACGGCTGGTCAAGAGGAGTCCGCCGTCGTCTTCTGGTGGAACCGACCTTCGAATCTTTTCAGCCAACACTTCCACTCGAAATGGAAGTAAGCTCAACAATTATGAAACAAGAGATTCCTCGAAACTCAACTTTTCTTCATATTTATTTGCACAGCTCACCATTACAGGTAAAATGTATACACTACATTACCAGATTTATCAATATCATCATTGACTCTATACTTAAGTTTTGTAAATAATTCAGGATTTTGTCTCATCGAAAACCGAAGGAGGATCACAGCTTCGGGAAGATTGTTGAATTGTACGAAGAAGTCTTCGGCTCACCGTCCTGCGACCCCGATGAAAGTGTGCTAAGCTTCCGTCTGTACTGTGACAGTCATCATAAGAGCAGGTATGCATACTTCACGAAATAGAGCAACAATATACCAAACCAAGAGAAAAGATGGCCGGCAGCGCCTTCCCTTGACATCTTAACGCAACCTTTCATAACTTGGTTGGCTAACCCAAACTCATTCTACATGCTTGCAGAGGAGTGAAGTCATTTCACGAACCGGAAGTGCGTTTGGTGGCAGTGGCTTACTGACACAAACAAATAAACTGGCTCCTGTTTGGGCTTGTGTTATCGTTTATTGTGTCAATATAATCTCCATACCATGAGAGTTGTGATCATTAATCCTAGCCCCACTCGAGCATGATCCAGCCACCTTCCCTTGTCAAGTGACTCTTCTTGTTCTCCCTATCCCTCCCTTTCCCTAAGCTTATCCCAAAGCGACAAATAATTCTTACTCTATTTTCTTCTTCATTCAATTGAATGTTTTCATAACTTCTATAGGACCCCTAATCTTAAGCTTTTATGTAAAGTCCCCGTAACCAGCAAAAGAGTGTGTTTTGGACCAGCCCATTGGGGATCCTATTCGATGCAATGTGTTAAACAAGCTCAAATTTTTGGATCCATAC